TTTACTCAGTCTTTGTTGGATCCTCTAGTAACCAGTGAAGGCACATTGAGAACAGCAGCTAAATAAGGTTGTCCATAGACCGCTAGAATTTTGGTGGATTCCTGCTGAATTGGCTGAAATTTAACCCATGGGTGACCTTGCAGGCACCACCTGGCTGAGCAAAGGTCAACTAAAAAAAAAAAAAATCTACTGAGCCAGGTGGAAATATATTGGTCAAACTGTGACTTCATCCAGTCACTACTCAGCATTGGCATTGTATTCAGGCTGCCTCTGCACCCTACAGTAGCCGGCAGTGGGGATTCTTCCATCCATGTTATTAGTGTGGATGGGGGAATTGACTGATTTTCTCTCATTCAGCTTATGAGCTGTGTATGAGTACCATATTATATTCCTTTGCAATATCTATTTGTCTGCAGAGTCTGGATGGAGAGGAGAGATTACACACACCTTGTTATTCTTTAAAAGGGTGTCTTGAATCTCAGTGTTGTTTTCCAAGCAGACAGGTATTTAGTTTAACCACTTGCCTACAGGGTACTTATACCCCCTACCTGCCCAGGCCAATTTCCAGCTTTCAGCGCTGCCACGCTTTGAATGACAATTGAGCGGTCATGCAACACTGTACCCATATGAAATTTTTATAATTTTTTTTGTGACAGAGCTTTATTTTGGTGGTATTTAATCACCTCTGGATTTTTTCTTAAACAAACCAAAAAACACAGAAAATTTAGGAAAAAAAACAATTTTCTTAGTTTTTGTTATAAAATTTTTATAAATAAGTGATTTTTCTCCTTCACTGATGTGCGCTAATGAGGCTGCAGTGATGGGCACTGATAGGCTGCACTGATGGACACTGATAGGTGGCACTGATGGGCAGGCACTGGTAGGTGGCACTGATGGGCATTGACAGGCATCACTGGGCACAAAAAGGCAGCACTCATATGTGGCACTGTTAGGCGGCACTGACTGGCACTGTTAGGCAGACACTGACTGGCAGCACTGACAGGTGGCACTGATTGGCATTGATAGGCGGCACTGACTGGCACTGATGGGTGACACTGAAAGGCAGCTCAGATGGGCACTAATATGTGGCATTGATGTGCACTGGTAGGCACTGATATGTGGCATTGATGTGGCACTGATAGGCACTGGCAGGTGGCATGGATGAGCACTGACAGCTGGCACTGATGGACACTGACTGGTGGCACTGCTGGGGCTACATAGATCATCAGGGCACACTGATCATCAGTGCACATGTCCCCTCCGAGGAATGTCGATTACCGGCTCTGCTCTCCTCTCCTCTGTCAGCATGACAGCTCGTGAGGAGAGAAATGCCGATAACTGGCATTTCCCTATTTACATGCGATCAGCTGTGATTGGACACAGCTGATCAGATGACCGATCCGACATCTTCGGCTCTTTCCGTTAATCGGTGATCCGTTGTGTCCGATCACTGCCGATCGCTGTGCTGCGCGCTCCCGGAGCCGCGCATGCGCGGTTAGAATGGGAGGACGTCATATGACATCCTCCCAGAACGAGAGAACTGCCTTGTGCCCGTCATTGTTACTATATGGCGGGCGTGAGGCGGTTAAAGATGGCTTCTCCTTTTTTTAAAAACAAAATAAATTGGCAATGGGAAAACAGTTCTGTGGTTTTCAGTCGCAAAGTTGTGTTTACTAATAGTGGCATTACCTGCTGCATTAGGCTTGTGATAGGTTGCATGTTTCCATGCAATTTAAATATTTAAAGGCAAATTTCTCCATCCACCTCGTTTGTGTGAATGGGGGAATTTTTGAACCAAAAAAAAAAAAACATTACCTTTCTTTGGCCAGGTTAATATAAAAAGGCTAATGGTGGTTATCTGTAATTTATTGTGATATAATTTAACCTAAATTATTCTCTGTAAACTGCTTGTAGAGTTTAGATCAGTTGGACATTCAGGCATAATCCACTGCCCATAAAGTATAACTTTTTAAGTTAAAGTGTAACTTTTTTTTTTTAAGTTTTGGAAAGTGTGCAGATGGATTAGATCACCTGCCAGGTTTTTTTTTTGCTGTCTGTGCCACTTGTTTACCATTATCATCAAGTAAAAGAAAATCCCACATTTTGGGCTGACATCAGAACACTACGGCCCCGTTCACACCTGAGTGATTTGCAGCTTGAAGCTCTAAAACGCTTGAGGAGAAAAAAATCAATTAGTCTCAATGGCGTTGGTTTACATCTCCACTCCAAGTCGCCTGAAGCCAAATGCTTGCAGTTCAAACAAATTCTGGAGCTTTTTTTGTTGCTCACATCGAGCAGATTTGTGCTTTTTTGAGCGTTTTTATTTCCATAGAAATGATTTGGAAACACGCAATTCGCACATTTTCTGCTCAAATTTTAACCACCTCCCGCCCGCCATATAGTCCAATGACAGGCGCAAGGTGGTTCTCTCGTTCTGATAGGCCGTCTTTTGACGGCCTTCCATTCTCACCGAGCATGCGCGACTCAGGTAGCACGCAGCGTGGCAATCAGAGGTGCTCTGTGTCCCTCACAGTCCAATCACAGCTGATCGCATGTAAACAGGGAAATGCCGGTTATCGGCATTTCTCTCCTCTCGAGCTGTCACACTGACAGCTCAAGAGGAGAGGAGAGCCGGTAATCGGCATTCCGCGGAGGGGACATATACACTGATCATCAGGGCACTGATAATCAGTGTGCCCTGATGATCAGTGTGGCCCCAGAAGTGCCACCTGTCAGTGTCCATCAGTGCCAGCTGTCAGTGCTGAACAGTGCCACGTGCCAGTGCCCATCAGTGCCATATCAATGCCACATATCAGTGCCTACCAGTGCCACATCAATGCCACATATCAGTGCCCATCTGAGCTGCCCTTCAGTGTCACCCGTCAGTGCCACCTATCAATGCCATACAGTGCTGCCAATCAGTGCCGCCTATCAGTGCCAGTCAGTGCCGCCTATGCATGCCATATATCAGTGCTACATTTTAGTGCCCATCAGTGATGCCTGTCAATGCCCATCAGTACCACCTATCAGTGTCCATCAGTGCATCTTATCAGTGCCCATCACTACAGCCTCATTAGCGCACATCAGTGAAGGAGAAAAATCACTTATTTACAAAATTTTATAACAAAAACTAAGAAAAAAAATTGTCAGCGGTTTTTGTTTAAGAAAAAATAAAAACCCAGAGGTGATTAAATACCACCAAAATAAAGCTTTATCTGTGACAAAAAAATGATAAAAATTTCATATGGGTACAGTGTTGCATGACCGCGCAATTGTCATTCAAAGTGTGACAGCGCTGAGAGCTGGAAATTGGCCTGGGCAGGAAGGGGGTATAAGTGCCCGGTAGGTTAGCGGTTAAAGAATAAAAAAATAGTATTAATATATGAATAAATAAATTCAATATAAATAAATACCTCAGGCATGGAAGCGCCCGTTTGTCCCTCTTCAGGGGGTGTAGGACCGTATGACCACTATGATGCTCAATTAACAAATGTCGAGAATCTGCAATGACTCCCAATGTAAATTCTTGCAAAATATGGGAGCCGTGGTTGCAATATACCTTTCCCACACTCCCCCGGCTAGCCTGGGGATGTGATGTTGTTCGGCTTTGGCGTTCTTGGATCCCTGCTCTTGGTTTGGTTATCTTTTTTCTTTTGTTTTTCTCCTTCCTTTCCCCCCCCCCCCCCTTTTTTTTTTCTTTTTCTGCTTTTGGTGAGGCAGTGGATAGCTGCCTTTTAGTCTGAATTATTATCAGTGTTATATTTATGTTTTGTTATTTAAGTGCCATTGATGGCCCCTCTGTGGGTGTATCTTTTGCCCTGTTGGTGTTAGAGCACTGATCTCTCTAATTTTCTAATTCTTCTATGTGCAATTGATAGCCCCTGTGTGGGCGTGATTTGTTGCTCCTGTGTTAATTGTTATAAATTAATAAAAAACCATTGAAATACAAAATAAATAAATACATAAATAATAAATAAAATGATGGTTTTAATTTGTTTTATGTTAGGGTGTTTATTATTTTAATATTAATAATAATAAATTATATTTATGATTTTTTTGTGTATTTTATTTGTTTTACATGTATTTATTCATTTTTTTTTTTTATTATTATTAGCACCCTGACAAAATATTAACCCCTATACCTAAATTTAACCCCTAATCTTAACCCTAACCTTATCTTTAACCCCTTACCCTAACAAAAGAATAAATGAATAATAAAAAAGAAATAAAAGTTGATGGAAAAGCTAAGAAAGCTGAAAAACCTTTGCAACAAATGATGCAACAGATTATATTTTTCTGTATTGGATAATACAAAAAACACCAAAGCTCAAAAACATCTGAAAAACACTGTATAAAAACAAGCAAAAATCGCCCAAACAAATGGCACAAAAAATACTTAGACACTACGCTCAAGTGTGAATCCAACCTATTAGAGGGGAAATCTTTCAATGTGGACTTGTTCTGGTGACACACAGGGATTCCCTCACTTTGGAGGGATTTCCCCTCACTTCCTGTTTTGGCTATGGTACAGGAAGTGAAGGAAAATCTCACCAATGGGACACAAATTGCAGAAACTGATGGAGGTTATTTACACTGTAAGCATTTATTCCAGTCACCACATATGCAAACTAGAATAGTTGTATCAGGTGACTGGTCATGTCTTGGACTGTGGAGTAAGGCAGGCCATTCATGGTGATGGGGGAATCCTCCCACTGTGGTATTGTATTCTGTCGGTGGGGAGCCTTCCGTGCTGGCACAATACAGTGATCATTGGTGCCGACTATAGCCGGTGACATTGATCGTTCAGGAAAAACCTGACAGGCTAGTTATACACAAGTCAATTGATAGATGGAATGCTTAATTTTTTCTGACCTCAAACTGTTACCTCAAACTTGGAATTGGACTTACCCCAAATAATTGTATAAAATTGCAGCATGTTATTGGTCATCTTGTTAATGATGCTTCTCCCCTGCCCCCCCCCCTTCCTTCCTGATCCATAGGATGGAATTTGCCATTGACAAGCTCAAAAGAGCAGGAAGCCAAAAAGGAATTTTCATACTTCGATGCAGTCCTAAAGAGTTTAACAAGTACTTCCTCACATTTGCAGTAGAGGTAATTATAAAAGGTTCATAACATTCAAAATTAATGAGTTGATTACAGTGGATTAATTTTTATTTTCTATATATTTTTTTCCAGCGTGCTGGAGTACCTGAATATAAACACTGCTTAATAACAAAAACTTCAAATGGGGAATACAACCTACGAGGTGCCAAGAAAAAATTTTGGCTCACTGAAAGATTTGTTAAACTGCTACCAGAAAGAAACTGTCCGCTCAGATGGCATCATTTTCCAGTTTACGCGATGTTGCCCCCCTAAACCCAAAGGTCAGACATGGTAGCCTTCATTTAAAAGCAAGCAGAACATTAAAGGAAAGGTTTTTAAACATGCACTGATCTAGAATGAACATGTAGATGATGACGTTGTAAATATGTGGAGCTGTGCACTGCTTGTTTTTTTGCATTAACTTACTACATAGATAAAGAAGGATGAGGATGACTGAGTCTGCATGTTTAAAAAACAAGTCTGCAGCAGAAGCTCCCATAGTTCTATTCTCACAAGTTTACTTTAACCTTACTTATTGTGTTCATTTACATTGCAAGTTGAAGTGCTAAACTAATCTGTAGGGAATGAGTTTGTTGCTATGACTGAGATGTCCACTATAAAGGCCTAGAGAATATTTTAGCAATTATATGACTATCTCATTAAGTTGGCTATTGAATTCAATTCCTTGATGCATCCTTCTGAAAACTTGAATGAAGCACCTGAGGCACATACAATTATTACTGGAAAGGTTGAAGTGCTTATTTATACAAAAGAGGTGAAATGAATCTGACTGAAGATCGTTACTTTGGTCATCTCATCTCAAAGTTTTACCATTTCTACATTTTGTTTTAAATTATACTCCCCAGCAGTATAACAAAAATAATACCTGGTACGAATGAGCATGTCATATGGAGGAGAGACTGTATCTTTGTATAAGCAGTGAACAACTTGTAGTTTACCTAGGACAGCTTCTGAAAAATGAACAGAACAATAAAGGGAACAGTATGTGCTGCTGGGAAGGAGAAAGGGGAATGGGGCTTGGAAGACTAAATTGAACATAATGTTTTGCTTTTATGGGACATAAACATGACATGAGTAGATATAGGGTCTGGTAGAAAGACTGGGAAGTAAAAAGTTAAAATAAGTATAAAAAAGGGACGACTTCAGTGCCTTGAGTAGATAAATGGACCACTTAGGGCTGGAAATGGTAATGCCCCTTGTATGCCTTAAAATATGAGAGATACTTTGTATAATTAAACATCCACTGGTATATTTCATAGATATGTGTGAAACAATCCACTCAAAAAACATCACAACTATGCCCGTGTTATTTACAGATCATTCTAAGTGCTGTTTCATGCCCTGTTTAAATCTGGCTAGACCACATATATTCAAAAATGTTCTTTTAAAAGTAATATAAATAATCTGCAGGTGCCAAATTCAAAAAGGTACCAGGACCGTATGTAAAAACCTCACGCAGGTAATTAAATGAAATGTCCTTTCTGAAAAATTGTGATGGATCAACAGTTAAGAACTACGAATTGTGTACATTTTTATTTATTTATTATTAAACTAAAAATATATGGTAAAATAATCATCTTACATATGCTAAGAACCATAGTGTGTGTGGAGAAAAGATCTTTATGCTTCATACTTTTGAACTCTTGTCTAATGCCTAGTAGGAATGGATGAATTTAGAACGGTAATTGTAATATCTCTCATCTTCTTATATTAAGTAAAATGTTTGTAATTTATAGAGAAATCAAACCTGATTATCTTCAGGAGCAACAGAGTGTCGGAGGTCCCATTATCTCCTTCCTTGCAGCGGCACACTAATGTGAATCAGATGGTTTTTCACAAGATCAGAAGTGAAGACTTGACTTACGTATGTTTTATTTGTTTTAATAAAGATTGCATTCTCTTTGCTTGATATGTCCTAATATCAGGACTCCAGGCAGGCAAACAGGTAGTACACAGTTGAAATACATATACTGTATGTGAATCTGTTCATCTGTTAAGTATTTATAATTCTGTTCTGCCAGTCTTGCAACTTGCACCCCTCTGCCACTTGCATGATGAAAAATAACTTTGCAGTTTTTTTTGGTTCAGATTTATAAACTCCTTTTGTTACTACATTGCTTATTGGACAGTGAATGAACAGAATGATAATACTGACTGAGGATGGAAGCAGAGAGGTAAAACAAGAGGGGGTGAAGCTGAACGAGGACACGGGCATCTGGCTGTGCAATGTGATGGATATGTGTGACTCACAAAACTGACTTAACAGAATTACAAATCTTTTTTGAAGTTTTAAAAGTTTCACATTTATTTCAACTGTTTCCTTATTTCTTTACCTGGGGTGCCATTTTAATGTTAAGTAGAAGGAAAATTAAAGTGGAAATGCTATATATTGCTAATTGAGTCCAATTTTTAAATGTAAAAATAATGGAAGCCAAAATCTGGTTACACTGCGGCATACTGTCTAACCCAATTTGTTCTGTTGAGCTGCCGTGCAAAAAGCCACCTCTTCTTCAAAGACTGCTCAGGAGAAGGGCAGTGTGGACAACTGTTGGATCAGAGAGAGTGAGGCCTGTGAACCATAAACATGCAGCTTTTGGTTTGACACTTCATAACACCTATAGTGTTTTTTCTGAGTTAGAAGCAGATACAAAGGTTGCAAGGACGCTGAAAAAAAATTGCTTTGCCAATAGTAACTGTTTTATTGGAGGTTGCAATCCAGGCAAGTGTTGTGGATAAGGCTCCTAAAAGGAGAAGTCATCTTGTTGGTGATTCAGTTTTAAGAGGTATTTCTTTAGGAAATCATGTGGAAGTGTCTAAGGAAGTTAGGTGTTTAACTGGTGCTACTGTTAGGAGAGACAAAAGGTGCATTTTAAAAATTGTCAAAAAAGCTAGTGAAGAGTGCAATGTTGATGTTGTTGTGCACCTTGGCACAAATTATTTATCCCAGAATGATGTGCATTCTGTACAGAAGGATTTCCAGAATTTTGGCCAGGATCCTCAACAGTTAGGCTGTACGGTTACATTTTCAGAGGTATTACCTGTGCATAATGAACAAGCAAAAGTGCTTCATATACAGGTGAAACTCGAAAAATAAGAATATCGTGCAAAAGTTCATTCATTTCAGTAATGCAACTTAAAAGGTGACACTAATATATGAGATAGATGCATTACATGCAAAGCAAGATAGTTCAAGCCATGATTTGTCATAATTGTGATGATTATGGCTTACAGCTCATGAAAACCCCAAATCCACAATCTCAGAAAATTATAATATTACATGCAATCAATAAAACAAGGATTGTACATACAACAATATCGTACCTCTGAAAAGTATATGCATGCATATGTACTCAGTACTTGGTTTGGGCCCCTTTTGCAGCAATTACTGCCTCAATGCGGCGTTTCATAGAAGCTATCAGCCTGTGGCACTGCTGAGGTGTTATGGAAGACCAGGATGCTTCAATACCGGCCTTCAGCTCTTCTGCATTGTTCGGTCTCATGTCTCTCATCTTTCTCTTGGCAATGCCCCATAGATTCTCTATGGGGTTCAGGTCAGGCGAGTTTGCTGGCCAATCAAGCACAGTATTCCCACGGTCATTGAACCAGGTTTTTGGTGCTTTTGGCAGTGTGGGCAGGTGCCAAGTCCTGCTGGAAAATGAAGTCAGCATCCCCATAAAGCTCGTCTGCGGAAGGAAGCATGAAGTGCTCCAAAATCTCCTGGTAGATGGCTGCGTTGACCCTGGACTTAATGAAGCACAGTGGACCAACACCAGCAGATGACATGGCTCTTCAAATCAACACAGACTGTGGAAACTTCACACTGGACTTCAAGCATCTTGCAGTGTGTGCCTTTTCATTTTTCCTCCATACTCTGGGTCCTTGGTTTCCAAATGAGATGCAAATGTTGCTCTCACCAGAAAAGAGGACTTTGGAGCAAACAGACCAGGTCTGTTTTTCTTTAGCCCAGGTAAGACACTTCTGACGTTGTTTGTTGTTTAGGAGCGGCTAATGAGGAATACGACATTTGAAGCCCATGTCCGTCTGTGTGTGTGTGGTGTCTCTTGATACACTGACTCCATCCTCGATCCACTCCTTGTGAAAGTCCCAAACACTTTTGAATGGCCTTTTCCTGACAATCCTCTCCAGGCTGCGGTCATCCCTGCTGCTTGTGCACCTTTTTTTTTCCACACTTTTCCCTTCCACATAACTTTCTATTAATGTGCTTTGATACAGCACTTTGGGAACATCCAACTTCTTTTGCAATTACTTTTTGAGGCTTTCCTTCCTTATGGAGGGTGTCAATGATGGTTTTCTGCACAACTGTTAGGTCAGCAGTCTTTCCCATGATTGTGATTCCTACTGAACCAGACTGAGAGACCATTTAAAGGCTCAGGAACCCTTTGCAGGTGTTATGGCTTAATTAACTGATTAGGGTGGGACACTTTGAGCATAGAATATTGCAACTTTTCACAATATTCTAATTTTCTGAGATTGTGGATTTGGGGTTTTCATGAGCTGTAAGCCATAATCACCACAATTATGACAAATCACGGCTTGAACTATCTTGCTTTGCATGTACTGAGTCTATCTCATATATTAGTTTCACCTTTTAAGTTGCATTACTGAAATAAATGAACTTTTGCATGATATTCTAATTTTTTGAGTTTTACCTGTAGTAGAATTCAGTGTTTGGTTAAAGGAATGGTGCAAAACTGAAGGTTTTGGTTATGTTGCTTATGATGCTATCAGGTAGTCTGACATTGAGCTGTACAAAAGAGATGGTCTGCATCTCCCACACAAGGGCACTGAGCTTCTTAGTATGGAATTTATGAGTTTTTTGTACATGCATTTAAACTGAGAAATGGGGGCAGAGATTTACTTGTTGAGGAGCATTTTTGTCCACAGCAGGTTGATACAAATGTGACTGTTTGTGTTGCTTAGTTAAAGTTTCTGGTGGTAAAAATAAATTAGCAGATAGCAGTGTTTGTCATGTCATGTGCACTAATGCTCATAGTTTTAGGCAACAAGCCTTGTGAGCTGACAGCTTTGATGTCTAGGGACAACTTGGACCTTGTGGCAATTAAAGAGACATGTTTCAAGGATTTAAGACTGGGAAAGAACTATACCAGGGTATACACTATACAAAAAAGACAGAGCAGGGAAGAGGGGAAGTGGAGTTGCCATATTTGTCAAAAGTAACAACGCTAACATTAATTTAAAAAAACAATTGAAATACTCAGAAACCCGAGGTGATCATATTCGAGACCTAGTACTGACAAATGGGGGATTACGTGTCTAATGTTGAGGTGGAAGACAATTTGAGTTCTAGTGATCACCAATGTCTTTGGTTTGATATTAAAATAGGAACTGAACAATCCTATACAAAAGTTTTAGATTTCAAAATGACAAATTTTGCTGAAATGGGTGCATTTCTAAAACAATGAATTGAAAGGTTGGCGTGAAATGACAGGAGCAAGTAATCAGTGGGCGGTGTTGAAGTCTACCATCCTGGAGGCAACTAGATTATATGTCGGGCAAGTTAGATTAAATAAACGGAAAAAAAAACAATATGATTCACTAAAGAGAGGAGTAGGACAGTAAAGGAAAAAAAATCAGCATATAGGAGATTCAAGGAAACAGGAGGTGTATCTGACAGAGAAGAGTATAAGAATAGACAAAAGGAGGCCAAACACATTATCAGTGTTAGCAAAGCACAGAAAGAGGAGGAAATTGCTAAATCTATTAAGAAAGGAAATACAACCTTTTTTGGGCACATTAGTGATAGAAAATATCACTAATATGAAAACTGGGAAAAACATTTATGTTTAGGGAGACCTGGTTGTAGCAAACCACTTACACAATTACTTCTGTTCTGTCTTAGAAAGAAATTGTACTAACAGTAATAAGTTGGGAAATCCTATTGGGTCTAGTAATGGTTCATTTTTAGGATTTCTGGAGACAGAGGTAGCAGAGGAACTGACTCGGTTAAAGATTAATAAAGCAATGGGCCCTGATGGTATTCATCCCAGAGTTCTAAGAGAATTCCGAGGTATAGTTGTTGGACCATTAACATATCTTTTTAATCAATCTCTTCTAACAGGAGACGCTCCCCATGACTGGCGAACAGCTAATATTGTACATAGTCACAAGAAGGGCAGCAAGGTAGAAGCTGGCAATTACAGGCCAGTGAGTTTAAAGAAGGATTGTTAATCTCTTAAAAACACACAATTTGCTGGACCCAAAGCAGCATGGCTTTACTGAGGGCAGATCATGTCAGACTAATCTAATTTTTTGACTATTTTACCAATGTTTTGGACCAGGGTGGTGCTGTGGATCTAGCATATCTTGATTTCAGCAAGGCATTTGATATAGTTCCACATAATGATCTAATACAAAAGTTGTATAAGCTAGGACTTAGCCCTTGGGTGGTTCAGTGGATATGCAGATGGCTAAAGGATAGATCCCAGAGTGTGGTTGTAAATGGGGTTCACTCAGAAAGAGACTAGTCACTAGTGGTGTACCCCAAGGCTCTGTACTAGGTCCTGTTCTATTTAACCTATATATGTGATATAACTAAAGGTGTTTTGGGTAAAGTATGTATTTTTGCTGATGACACAAAGGTGTTCAATAGGGTTGCTATCCTGGGAGGTGTCTGTAATATGGAACATAATTTGGCATTGCTGGAACATTGATCAAATGTTTCTCAATGTAAAATAATGCACCTAGGGAAAAAAAATCGCTTGATAGAATACAACATTGGGGGTACAGTGTTTCCACTACATAGGAGGAAAAGGATTTGGGGTACTTATTTCAAATGATTGCAAAATGAGCAAATAGTGTGGCCAGGCAGTGGGGAAAGTGAATAGAATTCTAGGATGCATCACTAGAGGGATCACCAGCAGGAGGAAGGAGGTCCTGATTCCCTTACATAGATCTTTAGTTAGACCTTGCTTAGAATACTGTGTCCAGTTCTGGACACCTCACTTACAAAAATATATTGATAAAAAACGAGGCCAGAGAAGGGTAACAAAAATGGTATCAAGAGCTACTTCAGCAACTTAATATGTACAGTCTGGAGGAACGAATGGAAAGTGAAGACATGATTTGAAACCTTTTAAATACATCAAGGGGATGAATAAGGTTCAGGCAGTATTTTCAATAGGAAACCAAAATCAAGAACACGGGGACATGACCTTAAACTAACTGTAGGAAGGTTCAAAAACTAATCTCAGAAAGTATTTTATTGAAAGAGTAGTTGATACTTGGAAAAAACTTCCAGCAGAAGTACTGAGCCTGTCGACAGTAAATAGCTTCAGACATGCTTGTTACGAAAAAAAAAAAAAAAAAAAAGCGGACTCGATGGACCGCTCAGTCTTTTTCAGCCATTACTTTTCTAAATGTGGCAGTTCATTCACTCATCTCTTGTATGCTGTAAAAAAAAAAAAAAAAAAACCAGGGTTGTATACCTGCCACTAACTACACTTTGGTATAAAGGAACAGGCCATTGTTGGAAGGGGCTAGAGTTTGTGGCCCCAAAGCAAATGATTGTCATGACGTTCCAGATGTGTTGAGGAGCATAGATATACTATGTTGTCCTTCTGTACTTAAAGTCTATGCCACTTTAGTGTGTAACCGTTGGTCTACCTCCAGGGGAAATCAACCTAGACATACATTTTCGTTTGTGGAATTTAGTATGTAAGGGTAATAGAATACTTTTTTCTTTTCATTTATCCTTTTTCCTTATCAAGTTAACAAGTGAAAAAAAAAAAAAATACAATTGAAAATTATTGTGAAATTGTATTGGTAATCTTTGTAGTTTCTGAACATCAGCATGGTCCTATGAATAATCTGGACACACCAAGGAAGACATTTATGAAAAAAAAATCTTTGCAGAGGATTTGCTTATGTTCGTATTTGTTTTTGCATGGAGCTACCTTTTCAAAATTACAAATTTAAAGCCCTACTCCAACCATAATGTTTTTTTTTCATTTTGGATGGCACAGAGAATGGTTAGAGGGTCTGTGAAGGTTTTTATCGTCATTTGTGTCCCTGTTTGGAAACTTCTTCCCTCACCCCCCCCCCCCCCCCCCCCCCCCCCCCCCCCCCCACCCCCCCCCTGTATCCTAGCCAGATTAAAAACATTAAAAACACATTTTGTCCCAGAGTGGAAAAGGGTTTAGAATTTGCAAAAATGTTTTTATCGTGGTATGTATTTTTTTTTTTATCTTTGTGACACTTTTTTTCTATTGGCAAAACAGGAGTGAGGGATAATTTTGGCCAATGGATTCAGACAAAATGTGAATGCTAACCAAAACTAAAACAAAAAAAAGAAAAGCTATTTTTGTGTTCCAATTTCCATAATCTAATGTCTATAATCTTATTTTAGGTGAAATATTTTCCTTTATATAGGGAGTATGGCACAACTGGCCATTACGGTTGGACACTTCTTATGGTCTATAAAGACCCATTCGCACTGTTGCAGTAATGCATTTCCAGTGTCTTCCCAGTGCAATTAAGCAAAGCACCTCTGTTGCAGTGCACTACAATACATGATAGCGCACTGCTGAGCATTGCAGTATGCTGCATTTAATTGATAGTACAGGTCTGATTTTTGGTCTGTTGTGCACTGGCAGCCTCCTCAAATAACAAAATGCATGTTAAGTGCACCACAGTGCATAGGCCCTATATGTATTAAGAATGTTCATAGAATAATGTAACAAACAACTTTATATTAAAGAATATGGTCTTTCTCCATGGAAATTGTGCTGTTTTGTCTCTTCTGCTTGTACAGAAAGTCATCATTTGCAATTTAACTAAATGTTCTCACAATCGCAATTTGACATGTTAATCTCTGTACTATGTATTTCCTTTACATTAGATTCTGTAATGTATTGTTCTGAGAAAAAAAAGGTTCTGAAAATATTTGATTTTTGCATACCATTATAAATGTTGTAATGTTCCTCCAATGTTTATTTCAGCTGGAAAATCTTGGTCAGGGTACCTTTACTAAGATATTCCGAGGCAAACGTGAGGAGACAGGAGACTACAATCAGATTCATGAAACAGAAGTTCTTCTGAAGGTTTTGGATAAGATACATAGAAATTATTCTGAGGTTGGTTTTCATCCCAGTGAACTATGGTTGTAGTGTAATTGAAGTTGAAGTTTGCTTGTAGCTATCTGTGTATAAGAAATTGAACATTTCGTGCTTTTAAACATGAATAAATTAGTAAAAATTTTAATTTAATTTTGCTGCTTTACCTAGTGACTCATGGCATTACATTTGCAATGGGCTGCTGCTAGTACATTTAATAAGTAGACATTATAATTATCTCTGTAGAGCATTCAGAATTTTTCATTGTACAGGCCAGCTGAAAATAAAATGTTATATTTTGCTGAAATGTGTATTAAAGGCATATCATCTGTTCATTAGTGTGGCTGTGACTTTAAGGACTTTTTCACACAGTGTGGGGACTTGTTTTTGCACACTGCTAGCCACCAATGGGGCACAAGGAAAATAATTTTTATGTGTCCCATACACAGCTGGCAGGTGCAGTGTGGCTTGATGAACTGCTGTAAAATGCAGACATACAGTATTTCACCGCACCACACTGCTATGCGTAGACATGAATGAAGTGTCACTTATAAATAAAGTTTGAGAAATAAAATTATAAAATGTGCGATATGCTGAAATGCACTTCAAACCTCCCCCTATGGTGAATAGCTCACTGATAGGAAAAAAACTGACAGGTGCTCGAATGCTAAAAGTGAGCATTTATTGAGTGGGCAGTGTGAATGAGCCATTCATGTTCATTCTTAGTACATAATTGTGTGAGCTACGCAGAGGCTGTTATTTCAGTGCCAGGCTCCCACCTGAATGTGGATGCTCATAAATTTCCAGCCCCTCAACTTATTGACATTCAGCATAATATAGACAACATTATATGCTATGAGCAGTCAAAGCAGGAGGACTTACCTGTTACATTATAGAATGGCAGTACCAATTTAATTGTATTTTGGGTGAATAATGTGATATTTATTGGTATGTTTAAGCTGATAATTGCTGGCATCTGTTTTAATTTTAACATGTTTTTAGAAAGAACTTAAACATGCGCACCCCTTTCTTCTTTGCAAAATAGCAATTTCAGATTTTGGATTAGTGTTTAATTGGAATCTGGGGGGTGGGGGGCTTATCCTACATTATTTTAAAGTGGTTCTTAAAGATCAAGGGTTTTTACCTTCATGCATTCTATGCATGAAGGTAAAAAACCTTCTGCGTACAGGTGCCCCCCCCCCCCCCCCGATCCTTACCTGAGCCCCCTCCGATCCAGCGATGTTCTCAACAGCCTTTGCGGTCTGGGGACTCTTCCTCCTCATTGGCTGAGACCGCAGCTGGAGCCCATTGGCTCCCGCTTCTGTCAATCACAACCAGTGAGCCAATGAGGAGAGAGCAGGGTCGAGCCATGGCTCTGTGTCTTATGGACGCATAGAGCAGCAGCTCAGCAATGAGCACAAAGGTGCCACCAGGGTGAGGGGCTTTCCTTGAGGGCACTGTTACCAGGGGGAGAAGCCAGGAGAGCTGGTGGGGATAGAAAAGAAGGGAATCGGGGCTGCTCTGTTGAAAACCACTGAACAGAGCAGGTAAGTGTAAATATGTTTGTTTCAGAAAAAAAAAAAATTAAGCTTTAGTGTCACTTTAACTGCTCTTGTTTCATTTTGTGTTTTTAGTCTTTCTTTGAAGCAGCAAGCATGATGAGCCAACTTTCCTACAGGCATTTGATCCTAAATTATGGAGTCTGTGTGTGCGGTGATGAGAGTAAGTTATACTCATTAGTATTTCTCTCTATTGTATATTTTATACTAAAGGTAACTAAAATATACTGCATTGTGGACACATTCCTGGGAATTAAAAATGTTCCTGTGCCATTGTAATGGCACAGGAAACTAGCATGAATGGTGTGTGCCACTGAAACAGGTCTATCTGCACCACCAATGGCAGTTTCTGTTTCAGAGTGAAGTAGAAACTGGTGCAGAGTCCACACCTAATTAGCAAGGGAATTGCACTAGTTTTCATAGAAAACTACCACAGATTCGCCCATTTTGGACCTGGCATACACACTAAGTGAACTGTGTGCATGGAGCTCACATGCCTCTCGGCTCCTGCAATGATTACATTGCACAAGTAGAGCCCACACTTTGACAGGAAAAGCTCCTTTCCCTTGCAATATGCTGGCATTTTAACCCCAGCAACAGTGTTAACAGCTTTCCCCTTCCCTCTCAGCTGAGTGGGATGGGTTTGTGCTGGCAGAGAGAGCTGGACAAAGCTGCTTGTAAAGAGTGACCTATGTTACTTTTCCAGCACTGTGCTATATATATATATATATATATATATATAAATAAATAAAATGCTCAGCAAAAATGAGTACACCCCAACAGGCTTGTCAGAAAACCTTTCCTTTCAGAATCAACATTTTCTATGCGACACTATACTACAAAATACTCCCAACAAATGCAGGCCATTGAAACAAGATTTGTTAATTTGCACACACAAAGTATTTTTCCTAACAAATTCATTAAAGACCATGTTGCAAAAATGAATACAACGCAATGAAAGTCTTAGGAGCAAAGTTAAATTTTAGACAACAAAATCCTAATTAACAAGAATTCAACTGCAGGTGAGTCTAATTATTTATTAAACATGTGTACACGAGACCGTTGACTATAAAAGAACGTTACTTTACAAAGAAAACCTCTTCCTATTGAGAAGTGTCACAAGGCCTGAGAAAGAAAATAATTTCGTTACACAAGAAAAGTGAAGGCTACAAGAAGATCAGCAAAGCTTTACTTATCAGCCAGGATACTGTAGCAAAAGTGATACAAAAATTTTGCAAACATGGAACTGCAACTATCTCAGAGATGTTCAGGCCGTCCATGTGAGTTAACACCTCGACAGCAGCGTCTACTGATGAGAATGGTTGAAACAAATCGCCATGCAAGTTCACTGCAGTTACATAAAGAAGTAGAAAGCCAAACTGGGGTGATTGTTTCATGTGACACAATTCAGCGTGTACTGCAGAGGAATAACATGCATGGGTGTCATCCACAAAGGAAGCCTCTCCTAAGGCCCATGCACAAAAAAGCCTGCCTATAATTTGTCAGGGCCCATGCTGAAAAAGAAGACAACTACTGGACTCTACTCTGGAGTGATGAGACCAAGATAAATGTTTTTGGAACTGATTACTTCAAAACTGTATGGCCTCTCAAAGGTGATGAGTACAAAGAAAAATGCATGGTGCCTACAGTTTAACGTGGTGGTGGAAGTGTCCTTCTGTGGGCCTGCATGAGTGCTGCTGTTGTGCGGGAGCTGAATTTCATTGATGGTATCATGAATTCACAGCTGTACTGCTCTATATTGAAAGAGAAGATGCTACCATCACTCCATGCCCTTGGTCATCATGCACTTTTCCAACAAGGCAATGATCCAAAACACACATCTAAGGCCACTGTTACATTTCTGGAGAACAGGGTGAAAATGATTCGGTGTCGAAGTATGTCTCCTGATCTGAACCCAATCGAACACCTATGGGGAATTCTAAAGAGACAAGTTGAGCATCACTCTCCATCCAGCATCAAGGCTCTAAAAGATGGCTTTCTTAAAAAATGGAAAAAGATAGATGTTGCAATATGTCGCCAACATGTTCATTCCATGCCTAGAAGTCTCGGTACTGTCATTACAAATCATGGAGGTCATACAAAATACTAGATGTAGAAGTTTTGTTGTGGCATATTTTCTTTTTTCATCAACTAATTTGAGTAAAACTGAAGATTTTGTAGTCTGTTATATTATTGACCTTACTTTCATGTAATGAGCTAAACAAATGTTCTATGAAACTCCGTTTTTTGTCAAAATTTTGGAAATTGTTCTTGTGTTCATTGAGATATTGAATAAATTACTTAACAAAAGGAGTGTGTGTGTGTGTGTGTGTGTGTATATATATATATATATATATATACAGTTGCAAGAAAAAGTATGTGAACCCCTTGGGATTACGTGGAGTTTTGCATGAATTGGGCATAAAATGTGCTCTGAACGTCATCTAAGTTACAACAATAGAAGAACACAGTCTGCTGAACATAATACTACACAAACGTTAGATGTTGCCATGGTTTAATTGCACATAACATGTAAACATTCAAAGTGCAGGGAGGAAATAGTATGTGAACCTTTGGACTTAATAACTGGTTGACCCTCCTTTGGTAGCAATAACCTCAACCGAACGTTTCCTGTAGTTGCAGATCAGACCTGCACAACGATCGGGAGTAATTTTGGACCACTCCTCCTCTTCACAAAACTGTTTCAGTGTAGCAATATTCTTGGGATGTCTGGTGTGAATCGCTCTCTTAAGGTCATGCCACAGCATTTCAATCAGGTTGAGGTCAGGACTCTGACTGGGCCACTCCAGAAGGCGTATTCTGTGCTGTTTCAGCCATTGTTTTGTTGAATTACTTGTATGCTTTGGGTCATTGTCCTGTTGCATCACCCATCCTCTGTGGAGCTTCAGTTGGAGGACAGATGGTCGTACGTTTTCCTGCAAAATGTCTTGATAAACTCTGGAATTCATTTTCCCATCAATGACAACAATCCGTCCAGGCCCTGAGGCAGCAAAGCAGCCCCAAACCATGATGTTCCATCCGCCATGTTTTACAGTGGGGATGAGGTTTTGATGTTGGTGTGCTGTGCCTTTTTTTCTCCACACATAGTGTTGTGTGTTCTTCCCAAACAACTCAATCTTGGTTTCATCTGTCCACAGTATATTTTGCCAGTAGTGCTGTGGAACATCCAGGTGCTCTTTTGCAAACTTCAAATGTGCTGCAACATTCTTTTTGTACAGCAATGGCTTCCTCCGTGGTGTCCTCCCATGTACTCCATTCTTGTTTAATGTTTTCCTTATTGTAGATGTGTCAACAAAAATGTCAGCATGTGCCAGAAATTTCTGTAGGTCTTTAGCTGACACTCTGGGATTCTTCTTTACCTCATGCAGCATTCTGCGCTGTGCTCTTGCAGTCATTTTTACAGGACGACCACGCCTAGGGAGAGTAGCAACAGTGCTAAACTTTCTCCATTTGTAGACAGTCTGTCTTACCGCGGACACATGAACATCAAGGCTTTTGGAGATACTTTTGTAACCCTTTCCAGCTTCATGCAAGTCAACAATTCTTGATCATAGGTCTTCTGAGAGCTCTTTTCTGTGAGGCATGGTTCACATCAGACAGTGCTTCTTGAAACCAGTAAACCCAAAACAGGTGTGTTTTTTAAGGGCAGGACAGCTGTCAGCAACACATTCAATATCATCACACTGATTGGAGTCAAGGTTGGCTCACTCCTGGCTCCAATTAGCCCTGGAAGAAGTCATTAAGCTAGGGCCTCACATACTTTTTCCTCCCTGCACTGTGAATGTTTACATGTTATGTGCAAATAAACCATGGCGACATCTAATGTTTGTGTAGTATTATGTTCAGCAGACTGTGTTCTTCTATTGTTGTGACTTAGATGATGTTCAGAGCACATTTTATGCCCAATTCATGCAAAACGCCACATAATCCCAAGGGGTTCACATACTTTTTCTTGCAACTGTATATATATATATGTGTGTGTGTGTGTGTGTTTGTGTATGTTGGAGCTATATTAATCATGTATAATAATAATAATATACACTGTGTATATGTATATAGAGTAAATATTCAATCAGGCGATCAGTGGGACAACAGGAGAAATTTCCAACTTTGTGTTTATTGCTGCCCACCTGCTTTTTATGTGTTATTTCTCCCCATGACTATCTGACTGTTTTGGCACTTCTTTATTTCAGGAAATGTATTGGTGCTTTCCTCCCCTTTCCCCTTCATTGCTGTCTATTCTTTTTTGTTAACGTTTAAGTTCTAGCATTTTTCCCTGTTATCTGATTACATTGAATTGTGCTCTGTATGCTCCTTTTACATGGTATCTTTGGTTGATTGCATTTTTTTTCTGAAAATTATTTTTTATATACTTTTTTTCACTTTGGTAATGTAATCAAGGGGGAGGGTTGCTAGTGGCTGGGTTTGTAGGAATTTACATTTCTGTGTGCCTTTGTTACATTTGCCTTGAGAAAGACAGGCTGTTGGCCGCAATAAATATCATGATAGAAACTCCTCTTGCAAGTCCTGCTGAGCGCACCTGGTGCCTGACTGATATTCCTCATACTGTACCTTCTTCAGGGATTGCACTTGGACCAGTATCCCTATAAATGTGTGCATTGGCCCATTTCTACACTACATACATACATTTTTTACATGAATATAAAATAGGCAAATATTGGTTGTGTTGGTTGTTGTAAATTTTCAAAACTTTATTCTGTTCTTAGGTATTCTAGTTCAGGAATATGCAAAGTTTGGGTCACTGGATATCTACTTGAAGAAGAAGAAAAACACAGTTAATATTATGTGGAAATTGGAAGTTTCAAAACAGCTGGCATGGGCTATGCATTTTCTAGTGAGTATTTTACAAGTTTCCTATTAGATCTTGCTATCCATAACAGCTTCCCTTAATTTCCTGTCAAATACAAGATCATAAGATACAATACTGTCTCCAGCAGTGTTTGTGGAGGCACACACAGCTTACTAGCACACATACATGGGTGGCTGTATTGGAACCTTTCAAGAGAAAGGAGCCACCCTTAAACTGGATTTCAGGGCCATTGTTCAGAGGACCAGTTGATTCTGCAAGAAACCAAAACTTTTAAACATCAAAGAGCAGCATACATGGAAAGTGATTTTTTTTTTATTTTATTTATTTTTTAACAAAAAAGGAGTGCTTTATTAAATTCAAACTCTCAGTACAGCATTCATAGACAAGACAACATGGTACAATGCCATAAATAGTCACTGGATGGGTGGCAACAAACAGGACAGTCCAACTATACTATGCAATACAATGAATGGACAGACAAATAATAAACATAGGCCATATGCAGCATTTCACAAGCACAATCAAGGTAAAAAATACAGCAGACCTTCTACGGCCTTTTGGAACCGTGCCACATAGGCAGGGCAAAATATGAGGTGATAGAGCAGGAGGGTAGGGGTACCGCCATATTATTGGGAAAAGAAAAGATAAGGTAAGCCGGGAGAGGACAAAGAGATGTGGGTAATGAGGTATAAGGGAAGGGAAAAAAAGAGGGGCGGGGGGTGAGAGAAGACAACTGAAGAATAGGGGGAGGGGGGGAGAATCACTGGTCAGATGTCCATGGAGCCCATACCTTATCATACTTCCAAGGGCAACCACTATTACCATAGGTAAGTTTATTCATCAGCAAAGCCACATCCACTAGGGCCTCCCAGGCAGATAGACATGCCCCCAGGGCATAATATCAACCTAAGTTTTAATACCATACCTCGCCCAATTTTTGGGGTCTGGAATAGTACGGAAATGGGAAAGAGAGGGGTTTACCCAGAGCGGCTGGGCTGGAGATCACTGGTCCAGCCCTCTATATATATAAAATTACGTAAATCAGACACATATCCCACAAACGCCTCATCCAAGCATACTACTACCAAGCATTAGATTTAGAGCTCACAAGCCACCAGTAAACAGACTAGGACTGCCACCCAAAAGTATACTTGAAAATTTGGTAAGGCCAGTCCCCCCAGCCAAAGAAAGCCAAAGGGTAGATTTTGCCAAATGGGGGAGGGAGCCATTCCAAATAAAGGAGCTCACACATTTATCAAGATAACTAAAAAAAGAAGGGACCCAGGTAGGACCGTTTTGGAAAATATAGTTACATTTAGGTAAGTACTTCATTTTGATAAGGTTGATACGACCCAGGAGATGCAGCGGGAGGCCAGCCCAGGCAATACATTGTGCTTTGAGGGACGAAAGTAGAGGTAAAAGATTTTGGTCCAGATAGCCAGACAGTTCCTTAGTCACTTGAACCCCAAGATACCTAAATTAGTCAACCCAACGCAATGGTGAGGGGCTCGCCAGCTCAGAAGTACGTACGTCAAGAGTAAAGAGAAGTGACTTAGACCAGCTAATTCTGATGCCAGAGAAGGACCCACAGTTGTCAAAAATCCACAGTGCAGCCTGCAGCAATGGGCCCGTGTCATTGAGGTATACCAGGGCATCATCAGCATAAAGGGATCGTTTTTCTTCCAGAGCCCCCACTCGCAGACCTGGACTTTTGAAGACTTTCCTGATCAATATAGCCAGGGGTTCCAGAGCCAGGGCAAAGAGGCTGGGGGACAGTGGGTAGCCCTGCGTATACCGCAATGAAGTGAAAAGGGCTCAGAAACTCTGTCATTGGTGTGGACCTGCGCCCTAGGGGCTCTATATAATAACTAAAGCCAATGAAGAAATTTTGGGCCAAAGCAGCTGAGGACCTCCCAAAGATAGACCCACTCTACCAAATCAAATTCCTTGCGACATGCAAAGTGGCAATAACTCTGGTACCAGTATTAACATGGGGTATAGAAAGGTTCAGGAAAAGGTGTCTGATATTAATGTCTGTTCCCTTGCCCGGCATGAACCCCGTTTGGTCGACGCCAATGAGGTCCTCAATCACCTTGGAAAGGCGACTGGCTAGTATCTTAGCAAATATTTTTGCGTCAACATTCAATAAGGAGATACAGATCCTTGAAAAGGTATTCATACCCCTTGAAATTTTCCACATTTTGTCATGGTACAAGAACGTAAATATATTTTATTGGGATTTTATGTGATAGACCAACACAAAGTGGCACATAATTGTGAAGTGGAAGGTAAATGATAAATGGTTTTCAAAATGTTTTACAAATAAATATCTGAAAAGTGTGGTGTGCATTTGTTGTCAGCCCCCTTTACGCTAACTAAAATCTAGTCGAACAGATTGCCTTCAGAAGTCATCTAACTAGTAAATGGGGTCCACCTGTGTGTAATTTAATATCGGTATAAATACAGCTGCTCTGTGAAGCCCTCAGAGGTTTGTTAGAGAACATCGGTGAACTAACAGCACCATGAAGGCCAAGGAACATAACAGACAGGTCAGGGATAAAGTTGTGGAGAAGTTTACAGCAGGGTTAGGCTATAAAAAAATATCCCAAGCTTTGAACATCTCACGGAGCACTGTTCAATCAATCATCCGAAAATGGAAAGAGTATGGCACAACTGCAAACCTACCAAGACATGACCATCCACCTAAATTGACAGGCTGGGCAAGGAAAGCATTAATCAGAGATGCAGCCAAGAGGCCCATGGTAACTCTGGAGGAGCTGCAGAGATCCACAGATAAGTTGGGAGAATCTGTTCAAAGGACAACTATTAGTCGTACGTACACTCCACAAATCTTCCTTGCCAGGTTTGGGAATTAAGACAATAATTGCCTCCTCTATAGTTTCAGGAAGTGACTCGAGAGAGGAGAAATCAGAGAATGGAGCCTAGGAGCCAACAATTCTATTATTATAGTATTGGGAGTAAAATTTGGTCGGGAGACCATCCGCCCCCAGAGTTTTGCTACCCTGCAAGCTCCGAATCTCCTTCTGAACTTACTTTAGCGAGATATCTTTCTTGAAACCTTCCCTGTCCAAAGCAGCTAGCCTTGGAAGGGAGATAGTATGAAGTAAAATATAGAGGTCAGGATGGGAAGAGGTCTCTAAAAAAAATTCCAGGAAATGGGAAAATCAGCTGACCCTTTACATCTCGCACAGAACCAATTGGGATCATTGGGGTTCAATCTTTAGCTTACCAGGCAAGCAGCCTCCCATTTTTGTCCACATATTTGAACAGTCTCTGAGCAGAGTGGAGCAGGGCTTTTTTGCTTTGTTCTGTAAGAGAGTTTTGCTGTAAGGCCTGACACCAGGCTGAGCACCGGGCACAGTCAGGGGTGGCAACATACGCCACCTCCAGTCTAGATGCCTCCTCCTCCAGAGCTTCCAGTGAGTGGCCTGCTTCATTTTGGAGAGCTGAGATCTTAGGGATATATTCACCTCACTCATTGAGGTCATCACAGAGGACAAGGGGGCACTCTGTATGTCTGGAGGAAAAGAAATTTGATCTCCAAAACGGAAAGGTTTCTTCACAGTAGGAGATGTGGAATAGACTCCCTCAACAGTTGGTTCTGGCCAGCTCAGTGGATTGCTTTAAAAAGGCCTGGATTCTTTCTTGGATACACAGAATATAACTGGTTACTATTTATAGGTAAAGTTGATACAGGGAATATCCGATTTGCCTCTCGGGGGATCAGGAAGGGATTTTTTCCCCTGCAGGAGCAAATTGAATCATGCCTTGCTAGGTTTTTTGCCTTCCTCTGGATTAACTGTGGGTGTAGGATTATAACAGGTTTCTTTTTTTTTTTTTTTTTAAATGGTTGAACTGGATGGACTTTTGTTTTTTTTTTCAGCCAGACTAACTATGTATCCAAGCCTTAAAGGAATCCCATAGCACCGAGGGAGATAAGGATTCTTCTTTCAATACCCAGTAGTTACAAAGGGACTCTGTAAGAGTAAAATGTAAACATTCGTCCGTTGCCCAGAATCTGGAAAGACACCAAACCCTAGACCCAGGGGGTGAAGAAAGTGATAGGGTCAGGGACAAAGGAGCATGGTCAGATACTCCACAGGAAAGAATTTGTTCTTCCTTGACCCAGCAAAAGACCGAGGGAGATGCAACGCTAAGTGAAACCGAGAGTGACAAGAGTGTTTTATTGGTTGCGTATTGATGCCTCCAAACATCAGTAAGGGCAAAAGTGGAGGCCCATTGCTAAAGGTCATGAGGAGTCCGGGTCACCATATGTAATCTATCCAGATCCTGGCAAGCAACCATATTGAAGTCACTCAGTAAACAACACTTTATCAGTATCATATTGTAACAGTGATTGCATAATGCTGTTGAGAACAGATGCTGGGGGAGGCAGATAAAGCACCACAACCACCATCACTTTATCAGAGATGCGTGCATGCAATATAACAAACCTGCCATCTGGGTCAGTTTGAATGTCAAGGGCCTGAAAGGGAAGAGACTTCCGAGTTAGTTTACTCATCCCACGGGTGTAATTAGAGTAAGTGGCATGATCGTGTGCACTCACCCAGGGTCTCTTGAGACTCCTAATTTTAGAACCCAGCAAATAAGTTTCTTGCAGTATACAAATTTGAGGGCTAAACTTCTGAGGGAATCGGAACACTGGTGATCTCTTTACAGCCTAATTGAAGCCCCGGACGTTCCAGGAGACGATTGTCACTTGAGATAGTCGTAGGCCTGAGAATATGGATATATAGGATTTAGACTTAGGGGGGCATCCACTCACACAGAACTAGACCAGGATGGCACGTAATACAAGCACAGAGCATAGGCCAGTGAGACAGGCTACCAAAGCACTCCCCAAAAACAAGAAAACCCAACACACTCCCCTCCCCCGAAACCCCCCACCCAAGCAGCAGAGGCTGAATAACCCACCCCGCATCTCCAACCCCAACACTGGAATGTTTAAGTCCCCAAACAGTTCAACAAGAACAAAAAAAAAAATGTAATGAGGCGTGAGCCAGAGGTGTCAATTCCTGAGAATAGACTCCGCTTCGTGACAGAGATGCTGGAATAACTGGATTAGGACATAGTAACTTTATCGCTTTTCTAGGAAGATTTGGAGTGCCATACACTGCAATACGTTATGGTACACCCTGCAAAAGATCAGGGGGTAGAGCCTTCTTGCACAGATAACATGATAGGGCCTTTTCACATCCAATGAGAGGTAGGAATAATTGGGTGTAGCTTCACAAAATATCAGTACCTCTCTGCCCCTGAAGGGACAGATGGAAGGAAGCCAGCAGCAAAAACTCAGAGCACAACAAAGGCAGTAAGGCACTGTAAGGAAAACAGATGGAATTCTAAGAAGTAGTTCTTGAGTGTGTATTTGTACAAAGCAAAAGCAAGGAGCTTGAGAGTTCTCCTGGAGAACCAGGGGCACATCCTTAGGTTGCTGTTCCAACATGGAAACAGGCATAACAGGTGCAAAGGTATCCTGACAGTCGCAGGCTTAAACAAGATGGTGGGACCACCCCGCTCTAGAGTGAAAAAAGCTTAGCACAGCAAACCGCATAGAGGGACAACCATGGAAGTCCAAGCAAGACCCAAATTTAGTGGTTAGTGTGGAGAGAATCAAGCCAGGCAGAGGCCTCACGTGGAGTAGTAAAAAAGTGGACCGTCTCCCCATCCTGAACACGCAGGCAAGCAGTGTAGAGAACGCTGTATTGGATTCCACAGCATTGAACGCAATTTAATCAGCATTTGAAATAGCTCAGGGGTGTGGAAATCTTTCCAAAAAACTACTTGTCCAAGAAACTAAATCAGGGGGGGGGTGGTCCCAATCTACTTGTCTTGATCAAAAATAAATACGAAGAGTTGATGTTTTTTATTAGGCATACTGTAGGTGCTTTTAGGAGTGGGAGTTGTTGGAATACATGTACAATTCACATAGCTTAAATTGTATGTAAATTGCTTTTCCTGCCTTGCTTCCCTTATGAAATATCTGTTGGCATATATCAACAGGATACTAGTGTGAGTAAAAAAACTTCTCAACCGCTTGTATAATGTGTCCTCAAGCATCTGGTATTCCACTTGATTGAAGGGCAAGGTTTTACGGACTAAATGTTGCTGTGCTTCGCTATATAAGTACTTTTTTATCAAAAATGAACCAGCATTTTATCAGACATTAAGCAGGCTATTTGAAAACTGGACCAAAACACTATCAGCAGTGTGTTTATAGAAAGAAAAGCCCCACCCTGCTAACTGGTATTTCAAGGTCACCAGGTGACCTCACTTGACCTTGAATAGCTCTCTGGTCATTTAAATACATATCCCTAATAATGCTCGCTGTCCAAGTAATAAAAGAAAATGCTAATTCATGATCACTTTTGCTTAGGGACCTTTGTCTGTGGTTTAAAACGTGTACCGTATTTTTCGCTCCATAAGACGCACTTTTTTCCCCCCCAAAAAAGGGGGAAAACTGTCAGTGTGTCTTATGGAGCGAATGTAAAGCGGCCGGTCCGGTATTTCTGCCGCCACCATGTCAGAATATCGGGCCGGCCGCTCAGCTCTTCTCTCTTGCAGCACCTTACCTGTTCCTTGCTCCAGCGCTTCTCGCTCATGCGCAGTGGGCACCCGGCTGTCACAGAAGCCGCCGTGGGCAGAAGAAGCAAGGACAGCTCCGCGGAAGTGGGAGCGGGTACCTGTCAAATTCAGGTACCCGTTCCCCCTCCCTCCCCAAAGCTCCGCAGTCTCTGGTAATCTCCTTTACTGTCTGCAGTCTCTGGTCATCCCCTGCACTGTCTGCAGTCTCTGGTCATCCCTTGCACTGTCATGCCCTTGCACTGTCTGCAGTCTCTGCAGTCTCTGGTCATTCCCTGTACTATGTGCACAGTCTCTGGTCATTCCCTGTACTATGTGCACAGTCTCTGGTCATTCCCTGTACTATGTGCGCAGTCTCTGGTCATTCCCTGTACTATGTGCGCAGTCTCTGGTCATTCCCTGTACTATGTGCGCAGTCTCTGGTCATTCCCTGTACTATGTGCGCAGTCTCTGGTCATTCCCTGTACTATGTGCGCAGTCTCTGTCATCCCTGTACTATGTCGCATCTCTGGTCATCTCTTGTACTATGTGCGCAGTCTCTGGTCATTCCCTGTACTATGTCCGCAGTCTCTGGTCATTCCCTGTACTATGTCCGCAGTCTCTGGTCATTCCCTGTACTATGTCCGCAGTCTCTGGTCATTCCCTGTACTATGTCCGCAGTCTCTGGTCATTCCCTGTACTATGTCCGCAGTCTCTGGTCATCCCCTGTACTATGTCCGCAGTCTCTGGTCATCCCCTGTACTATGTCCGCAGTCTCTGGTCATCCCCTGTACTGTGTCTGCAATCCATTGGTTCAGAATATTTTTTTTCTTGTTTTTCTCCTCTAAAACCTAGGCGCGTCTTATGGTCAGGTGCGTCTTATGGAGCGAAAAATACCGTATATCTAAAAAATAATTTCTTTTTCTAATGCATAGCAACAATAATTTGAGATCCTATAGAAAAACAATTATGGCTATATGCTTTGCTGAGTATTCGGAGTCTAAGCAACAAATTCTTAATTGTCCTTGTATAACAAAGTGCCATAGAGCAATGCAACCCACCAGCATCTATTAAAAATTAAATTATCAGTTTTGCGACAAAACTGCAGATTGGGGTGCCTGGTATTATGCTTTAAGTGGACTTGTTAAAGTCACATTTATTCCTCTATTACTCATAGGTATTAATATTCACATTTGTGGCTAATTTGTATGCATAATCCATAAAGCAGCTTCTGTTTGGTTTGCTCTACCTGAAGAAGGTTTTCCAGTGGGTCCAATTGACAGAAGCCAATCTAATGATCGGCTTCTGTCGAACAGAGAGGGCTACACACAGATCTAAGTTTGATCTGTGTGTACCAAACTTTATACTGGTAGACAAAATGAGGGAGGGGGGTTGCTGCAATATGTTTAGACAACCATAAACTGATCTCTCAAAACCTGTTTTTATTTTCGACCTAAAGATCCTTGTGTATATGGCACGCCTTGCTTCTTTTTTTTAGACTTGGCAAGTCCAGCTTAACTGACTTTTCTTTCTTCCTCAGTATTGTAAAAACTGTGCATTGGCAGTTTTTACATATATTTTTGACTCTTTATTTCACATTTTTGTTACTTAGGAGGAACGAAATCTAGTACATGGCAATGTTTGTTTAAAGAACATTCTGCTGATCAGAGAAGAAGATCGTAAGACAGGAAATCCTGCTTTCATCAAGCTCAGTGATCCAGGAATCAGTATCGCAGTGCTGCCGAGAGAAAGTAAGGGTGTCTGTTATTCAATCTTAAATTACTTATTTATTGAGCAGTGCAAATTGCTGAAACAAATTCAAAATGTACATTTCAATGTAATGTTTTATTGACATTGCCAATGAATTGAAATGCATTTAGTTGGAACTGGATTTTGCATTTTGTACTGCCTGAATGTAACCTTAGAACTACAGTTAAAACTTTGTCATCAAGGCAAACAGAACTATTGTCCCCATTAGAAGATTCCCCCTCTATTCCTTTACTTTCACTCTCTGTGATAATGGTAAACAGGGCAAATAGAGAGGGTGAATCACCTTAAAGGGGACACAGACAGCAGTAAAAACCTGACAGGTGTTTTTTAATCCCTCTCCACTATATCCAAAAATTAAACATGTTTTGCCTTCAGTTTTACTTTAACTGCCTTAAAAGCTGTCTTTTCCTAAAACTCAGTCTACTTTTTTGGTAAACTGGGTGATGTAAGTTTGTTTATGGAAGTAATCATCTTGGTAAATGTAACCTCTTAGCATATGTTGTGCCATAGGCCAATGCTGCCCTTGCCCTAATGTGCACCTGTACCCAAACTGTAGACAATAAAATATTTACATATTCTCTACCTCCTTACAGCCTGTTGTAAAAAGACTTTTTATGGACCTTTATTGTTCAGATATATATATAGAGATATATATCTCTATATATACATATAAATACAGTGCATCCAGGAAGTATTCACAGCGCTTTACTTTTACCACATTTTGTTATGTTGCAGCCTTATTCTAAAATGGATTAAATAAATTTTTTTCCCTTAACATTCTACAAACAATACCCCATAATGACAATGTGAAAGAAGTTTGTTTTGAAATCTTTGCAATTTATTAAAGATAAAAAACGTAAAAGAAACACATGTACATAAGTATTCACAGCCTTTGCCATGACACCCAAAACTGAGCTCTGGTGCATCCTGTTCCCACTGATCATCTTTTGAGATGTTTCCACAACTTGATTGGAGTCCATCTGTGGGAAATACAGTTGATTGGACCTGATTGCGAAAGACATAAACCTGTTTATATAAGGTCCCACAGTTAACAGTGCATGTCAGATCATAAACCAAGCCATGAAGTCCAAGGAATTGTCCGTAGACCTCCGAGACAGGATTGTATCAAGGCACAGATCTGGGGAAGGGTACAGAAAAATTTCTGCAGCATTGAAGGTCCCAATGAGCACAGTGGCCTCCATCATCTGCAAATGGAAGAAGTTTGGAACCACCAGGAATCTTCCTAGAGCGGGCCGCCCGGCCAAAATGAGCAATCGAGGGAGAAGGGCTTTACCCAGGGAGGCAACCAAGCACCCGATGGTCACTCTGAAAGAGCTCCAGCGTTTCTCTGTGGAGAGAGGAGAACTTTCCAGAAGAACAACCATCTCTGCAGCACTCACCAATCAGGCCTGTATGGTAGAGTGTCCAGATAGATGCCACTCCTCAGTAAAATGCAAATGGAAGCCCGCCTGGAGTTTGCCAAAAGGCACCTGAGAGACTCTCAGACCATGAGAAACAAAACTCTTTGGTCTGATGAAACTAAGATTGAACTCTTTGGCCTGAATACCAAGCATCATGTGTGGAGGAAACCAAGCACTGCTCACCACCTGGCCAATACATCCCTACAGTGAAGCATGGTGGTGGCAGCATCATGCTGCGGGGATGTTTTTCAGCAGCAGGAACTGGGAGACTAGTCAGGATCGAAGGAAAGATGAATGCAGCAATATACAGAGACATCCTTGATGAAAACCTGTTCAAGAGCGCTCTGGACCTTAGACTGGGGCAACAGTTCATCTTTCAACAGGATAACGACCCTAAGCACCACAACAAAGGAGTGGCTACGGGCCAACTCTGTGAATGTCCTGGAGTGGCCCAGCCAGAGCCCAGACTTGAACCCAATTTGAACATCTCTCTAGAGATCTGAAAATGGCTGTGCACTGATGCTCCCCATCCAACCTGATGGAGCCTGAGAGGTACTGCAAAGAAGAATGGGAGAAATTGCCCAAATATAGGTGTGCCAAGCTTGTAGCAGCATCATACTCAAAACGACTTGAGGCTGCAATTGATGCTAAAGGTGCTTCAACAAAGTATTGAGCAAAGGCTGTGAATACATATGTACATGTGGGTTTTTTTTTTCGTTTTTTATTTTTAATAAATTGTACACACACACACACACACACACTTTTCTTTTGTGCTAGTCCACAGTGCTTGCAATTTTTTTCTGCCAATAAATGCTTTATAGGTGACAAAAGCAATGTTACCTGTCATGAGGAAAAAAAAGTAGGATGCAATTGCTAATTTCTTCTGCAAATGCAGGTTGTTGGGGTGTCAAACTGTTCCTTTGGTTTCAATACATTAAAGTATGCTTTTCATGCTTGCCCTGTTTAAGAGTGTCAATAGTTTTCAAGTTCCACTGTCTTCACTGGCTGCATGTTCCAGATCAGTGACTTGGAAAGTATTGATGCCAGATAAAATGATGCATGACCGCCAAGCAGCCATCACTTTAAAAGCAAGGTCAGCTGTGAAATCCCATGACACAATGCATTGGAATATTCTATTTTTTAATTTAATTTCACTAACATTACTTGGGGATTAGTATCTAGTTTTTACTTTTTGGTGTAAAGTTAAGATTTCTGTATTTTTCTTTGCTTTGTATATTATTTGATATGTTCATGTCAACCTGCTTTTTTACTTTATTTTAAACATATTTCTGGTTTAAATGAAAGATGATGCATGCTCAGCTTTCTCCTTTTTATTTTTCCATTAAGTTCTTTTGGAACGCATTCCCTGGGTTGCTCCTGAGTGCATTGACAACCCAAAAAATCTTAGCCCAATGGTAGACAAATGGAGTTTTGGCACCACCTTATGGGAAATATGCAGTGGTGGTGATAAACCCCTGAATGCACTGGATTCTCAAAGGGTAAGTGAGTCGCACCACAAATAACATACCAGTCCACCTAAATGAGAATGTCCAGAGAAAAGTAATCCATAAACAGGTTATTTCAGCACACTGTCTTTTTGTTTAACCACTTGACCTCCGGAAAATTTACCACCCTTCCTGACCAGGCATTTTTTGTGATACGGCACTGCGTTACTTTAACTGACAATTGTGCAGTCATACAACACTGTACATAAATTAAATTTATGTAATTTTTTTCCCCCCACAAATAGAGCATTCTTTTGGTGGTGTCTGATCACAGCTGCATTTTTTTTTTTTTTTTTTTAGCTATAAACAAAGACAATTTTGAAAAAAGAAAAAAAAATAGTTTTTCTGCTATAAAACATATCCAATAAAAAAAATGTTAAAAATCATATTTCTTCATAAATTTAAGCAAATAGGTATTCTGCTAAATTTTTTGGTAAAAACAGTCCCAATAAGCGTGTATTGATTGGTTTGTGCAAACGTTATTGCATCTACAAACCATGGGATATATACTGGAATTTTTTTTTCATACTAGTAATGGCAGCGATCAGCGACTTATAGCGAGACAGTGATATTGCGACATTGTGATATTTTTACACTAACTGACACTGGTTCTGGGAACCAGTGACACTAATACAGTGATCACTGCTAAAAATATGCACTGATACTGTACTAATGACACTGGCTGGGAAGAGGTTAAACATCTAGGGCGATCAAAGGATTAACTGTGTGCCTAACCAGTGTTTTGTATACTGTGTTAGGTGCTTTTACTAAGGGAAGTGATGGATCTTATTCCGTGCTTAGCAGGGATACAGGATCCATCACTTCCCCCTGTCAGAATGGAGCTCTGTTTTGCTTACATAGGCAGAGGTCAGTTCTGTGTCTCTGCCTGACGATTGGTGGGTTCCGGCGGACATCCATTGGAATACTCACAGCAGAAGCGATACGCATACCCCCTAGGCGGAAGTTCGGAATCACGTTTATATACGTGATTTTGCACAGGAAGGCCACCTTATAGCAGTATATCTGCTGTAAGGCAGCCCTTAAGTGGTTAACATAATCCTCTTTCATAAATGTATCCCCCAGGAGCACTGATTTTGGGTGTTTAAATAGAATGGAGCACATTGAATAGAGCAGTAAGTCCGGAGCTCAGTTAGTGGTTCAGTGAATATTACATGCTATAATCAGCTGGTAAAATCTATAATGCATGCATTTATTAGCGGATGTGAACAAGCATGCCTCTACCACTAGGGCCAGTGTAGTTTCACAGGTCCAACAGCATTTATTGTTCCCCCACAGTCCCTGTATGGTAGAATAAGTTCATGTAGTAGCTGCAGTAGAAATAGAGGGGTGATTCTTTTTTACACCAGTCAGTCCTGTAAATTCCAGAGGGTAGTCTGATGAGAGCAAAGCTTTAAATGGGCTCCAGGAAGTAGAATACAGGCACAATTGTTAAAATGAAAAAATAAAAACCTTTCCCTTCCTTAGAACAGTTACATGATTTTTTGCCAAGTACATTCAGAGTGACACCAATAAATTAAGGATATAATATAGCTGAACATTTCATTGCAAACCCATCAATGGGTGTTTCTCCTTATCTGTTCATGACTCATTTATGATGTACCATTTCCAAAACAGGAGCTGTAATATGTGGGCTTTAAGACTGCAATTTTCCCATTAACTGATATGTACTGGACAACTTTGTTCTTTGCCTGTCTGGTTATATTGCAATGTCATATTCCTTCCTTATTCCTTAATAAAATGTTTTTGGAATAAAATAATGTAGCTGAAAATGACTGTCTTAGATTGCAGGTAATCTTGGGAGATCTTCTTTTGAGATGAAGCTCATCTCAATTAGAAATAATTCCGTCAATTGGACTACTTTCATCCCTACAGAGATAGGAATAATCATCAAGTATCCAACCCCCCCAGCCAATGCACATGCTGGTTAACAAAGGGGTCTGTCATAAAATATGACATTGTTACCTTTCATAGCTGTTACCTTGCAATCACAATGACCGTTTATGCGTTTTAATATGGAAATTTCAGTCAAAATAAAATAACCTTGGCACAGAATTCATACCAGTTAAAGTTCAGCAGTGTGCTTAGATTAGATAACTATTTAGAATACTAATTTACTAAGCCTCAGCTAAAGCTACCTAAGGTCACATCTTATACTGAGGCTAATATTCTGTCAATTCATTGTGATACATTATTTGAAGCTCCAGCCCAAACTTTTTTTTTTAATTTCGGAAAGCGCAAAAATAGATTATCAGGATTTAATTATTGTGTGTATCCTGGCTTCTTGTCCATATAACCACATGGGAAGTGAAGAGAATCTCCCCAAAGTACACACACATTTAAAAAAAAAAAAAAAAAATTGCAAGAGATTTCAAAGTTGTGAAAAATGTACTTTTTAAACTGCAACCACCTATTATAAAAATCTAACAATTTTAAAGTAGAACTATAGGCTTTTTTTTTTTCATTTTGTATAGTTTTTTTGTTTTGCTTTTTTCTGCAATCTGTGTCCCATTGAGGAGATTACCTTCACATTCTGTCCTATAGCGAAAACCAGAAGTGAGAGGAAATCCCTCCAAAATTAGAGAAATCCCTGGCTGTCTCCCAGGGCCGGGGCAAGGGGTGAGCGGGAGGGCCGGGTGCACTGGGAACAGGCTGGGAGAGGGCGCTGGGTTGTGAGCCTGCAGATAAATCAGTCCACAAAATATTCTAGATGTCACACCATGGTATGCTCGTTGCCTGCCCAAAAACAGACTGGATGTGCCCTTACTGGTTGCCTGCCTCCTATCTGTATCAGGAGTCATGCCCCTTTCCACAAAGAAAAAACTTGCTCTCTCCTCGCTCTCCTGTCAGTCTGGCCAGCTGTATCAGGACTGTCACACTCCCAGAGGCAGTACACGTGGGCGGAGCAAGAAGAGAACTGCAGCCTCGATCATTGCTTCCCACGTAGAAGACATAGGAGCTCTCCCTGGGGCAGAGTGAAGCTGTCAGTACATGGAAGGAAGACTGGATCTTCTCCCCCTGTGAGTCCCGATCTTCTCTGCCTTCCTTACTCTGACGCTGTGCTGTATACCTTCCCTAAGGAGAGAGAAGAAACAGGAGGCACCAAGAAAGAAAAAAGATAAAATAGAGCTCATCTGTATGAGACCACTCTCCGTCCTCTAGGGTTCCGCCAGGCAAGCCAGAGTGACAGCTGAAGCCTTGGGTGTAGCAAAGGGAATCTCCCTTGGGTGTGTGGTTGTGCTAGAGTTGATCAACGACATCTGTACCCCGGAAATGGCCGCACAAGCAGCGTGGAACGCGCTGGCGGAAGTGACATCACCGGAAGTCGAAGGGTCAATAAGAAGATCTCTGGAACACTGAACAGGCTATGCGCTCGGAGCCTCTAGCTCCTTCTATAGGCCTCTGCTTTCATTGTATGCCTTCCCTGCATCTTGCAGGGAAGGTTTACTGAGAGTGAAAGTAAAATTTTGAGGGGACAGCAAATTTACACTGTTATACAAGCTGTACACTCACCACTTTACATTGTAGCAAAGTGTAATTTCTTCAGTGTTGTCACATGAAGAGATATAATAAAATATTTACAAAAATGTGAGGGGGTGTATGCACTTCTGTGAGATAAGTGGGAAATGCCTCCTAGGGGGTACTGCTGTGCACTAAGTTGCATAATCCTGGAAAATACAAGAGATGGGGGGGGGGGGGGAGGCGTAGCTTGGCATGTTCGCCCTCGGCACTGGATGACCTTGTCCCAGCACTGCTGTCACCAGGATCACCATAACTAGTGTTCCCGTTAGAAGATTTCCCCTCTAAATCTGTTCTAGGGGCAACCCAATTTTTTTTTTTAGTTTCACTCTTGGTGATTATGGTAAATAGGACAAATAGAGAGGGTGACTCTTCATAATAGGTGCACAGACAATAATAAAAACCTTACAGGTGTTCTAATCTATCCAAAATCTATCCATTCTATCCAAAACTAAAAAAAAAAAAAAAAGTACAGTTTCTAGACAGGACATTGCTAAATTTTCTTCTGCTCACTGCTTTTCCCAATCAACTTATTGTAAAATTTCTTACACTCCCTGTAATGTACTTAATGAGTTTCTAAACTCAAAAGCACAAATGGAATATGTTGCAGCTGTATTAGTCCTTAGACATCGTGGATGTATTAGTTTTTTCTTTTTCAGTCATTTTTCCCTTTTAAACCTGGTGATAATGCCGGTAATACACTTCTGTTTAGAACCCCTTTCACATGAACATTGTCCATTCAGTCACAAAACAGAAAAAACAGGTTCCGTTTACATCAGTTTGCACATCTATCTTCAGTTCAATTTACATCAGTTTATGTCAGTTCAGTTTGGTTTACATCCGTTTTTTCTTAGTTGTTGCAGAGACCAAACAGAGGTGACAAAAGTAAAAACAAAAAATGTTTCTTGCCTAAAAATGGGTATAATCGAGAGAAATGTAAACATATGGCTTCCGTTTCCATCTATTCCGATTCAATAGATCTTGACATTGGCTGTTCCGTTTAAAAAAGAGACCTGAATGGATATTAACGTAGGTGGATGTAAAAGATGATCATCTGTTTACATCCGTCACCCATAGACATACATTCACTGGTTCAGTCTCACTCCGTCTGAAAAACCGATCTAGACTGAATGCCCATGGAAAAGGGACCTAAGGGTGACAACATTCTCGCAATATACTTTATCTATAGGGAGACAGCATTGTTACTTTATGCACCTCCTCTTTTCCTCATCTCCATACCATGGGCAGAAGTGTTTTGCAGTCTACAGGGAAAGCTCAGGCTGGGCTGATAACTTTGTTTGAGATTCAATGCAGCATTTTCATCTCAATACAGGAAGCTAGAAGCACACTGGATTTATTGCACTGGCTAAACGGTGTTACACAGAAGCTTCTGCATTTACAGGACTACAGTGGCATACAGCCATTCACTTGTATGGCAGGCTATGTGGGAAAGCACCAGAAATTTTACATTGGCATATAAAATGTGTGCAGATGTCCATGTGTATGAAGCCTTATATTGCATGAGAATGTGTGGGGAAATGTAGATTAAGACTTTTCTCATACTCTAATCTGAGATTTTGGATTTTTTTATCTAATAGAAGCAGCAGTTTTATGAAGATAGACACCAGCTTCCAACACCAAAATGGACCGAGCTTGCCAATTTAATAAACAGCTGCATGGACTATGAGCCAGATTTTCGGCCTTCATTTCGAGCAGTTATAAGGGAATTAAACAGCTTGTTTACTCCAGGTATGAAGCCACTGTGTAAAAAAGAAAAATAAAGTTGTGCTATTTCAAAATTACTTTGCAATGTTTTCTCTTTACTGAAAATCTGATTTACAGAAAATTATAGTTTTATGCTTTTTTCTCTGAAGATTATGAACTTCTGGCAGAAACTGACTTGCTACCCAACTTGAGAACTGGGGCCTTTGGCTTTTCTGGAGGCTTTGAAGACCGTGATCCAACTCATTTTGAGGAAAGGCATCTTAAATTTTTGCAGCAACTTGGCAAGGTACATGCTTGAGGGTTAAAATGTCTACTTGGTGTATTTTTGGGGTCATTCGCACAGTTTCCCAACTTTATTAAACTATGTATACTTTCTGTGTGTCACTTTACCACATGTATTCCCCAGCTTCTTTATATGTATTATAATAATTATTATTATTATACAGTATTTATATAGCGCCAATAGTTTGCTCAGCGCTGTACATTATAATGGGAGACAGTACAGTAACAATACAATACACGAGGTGTTCGAGGGCCCTGCTCCTTGGAGCTGACAATCTAGGAGGGAGGGGATAGTGGTACAGGAGGAAATAGCTGTGGGGGATGGAGTAGTAGGAAGAGTGGAGGAGATCGGCAATTAGGTAAGGGCGTGGTAGGCTTCCCTGAAGAGATGGGTTTTCAGGGTGCGCCTAAAGGTGAGGAGGGTAGGTGACAGTCTGATGGATTGGGGTAGTGAGTTCCAGAGGATGGGGGAAGCCTGGAGAAGTCCTGGAGACAGGCGTGGGAGGAGGAGACCAGGGAACTTGAGAGTAGGAGGTCTTGTGAGGAGCGGAGAGTACAGTTTGGGTGGTATTTGGATATCAGATTGGTGATGTAGTTAGGGGCAGTATTATGAACAGCTTTGTACGTCAATGTTAGCTATTTGAATTTTATGCTTTGGGCAATCGGAAGCCCGTGGAGGGATTGGCATTTCTCTGTAACTGTCTAAATGTCGTCCTAACAATCCCAAGGTCTGAAAATAATTACAAACTACTATCTATTCTTTTTCTAATTGACTCACTAGCAGAAAAAATTAAGTTTTACCTAATTACGTATTTTGTAATATAATAAAAGTAGGACGTTATGTGTTCTAAATAATACAAGCAAAGTCAGGGTCTGCACAGTCTTCATCATGCACAGATTTTAGAAATGTTCCCCCAGTATTATATGTAACTAGGTATAACCTGTGCAAGCTTATTTCTTCATTACAGGGTAACTTTGGAAGTGTGGAACTGTGCCGATATGACCCTCTACAAGACAACACTGGTGAAGTTGTAGCTGTTAAGAAGCTTCAGCATAGCACCGAGGAATATATGAGGGATTTTGAAAGAGAAATTGAGATCCTGAAATCCCTGCAGCATGAGAACATTGTTAGATACAAGGGAGTGTGTTACAGTGCAGGTAAGGCCACCTAAGTAAATGTAGTCATTTCACATGAAAATTTAGGTTTGCATCCTGAAAACTACAGTAAGGGTAAAGCCCTTGGGCCAGAATCCAGAATCATGGTAAGATAAGGTAATTTGCTGGGGGGTTCTATATGTGGTATTACAGTACATTGATTGGCAGATCTTATTTTATTCTCAATTGCAGTTCATGACAGCCACAAGTTTAGCATAGACCATTAATTATATTAATTATATTAGACAGCAGGTTTGAATGACATCTTTTTTGAGGCAACCGTTATTGTGAAAGTCTGCCTGTAATAAATAATGTCCAGGCAGGTAGTAAGGAAGATAGAAATTAGAGTTTACTTTTCCACTGATGGTAGCTTTTGTTGAATTCTGGAAGTATAATACATCAAAGTGGATCTCAAACCAAACCTTTTTTTCTTGTTTTAGATATAGTAGGAAAGGGTTAGAACAGAACTCTAATATGTTTTTATTGTTGTTTTTGTCCCTGCTAGGTTGATTTCTCTATTTTCCTGATGACCATTGTGAAACTGACTGAACATCGAAAAAATTAGTTGTTGCTAGAACAGGAATGGAGGGGAAATTTTGAGAGGGGACAGTGTCTAAGACAGCTGCCTAAGCAGCATTTACCTATCTTTGAAGATATTTCTGCTCAATTCCTGTTCTGTCTACAGTAAAGAAAAGTAAGGGAAATCTCTAATGGGACACAGATGTAGAAAAATATAGTGATTTCGCCATTGCTTAAAGTGGTTATAAAGGATGAAGGTTTCTTATCTTCATGCATTCTCACCTGAGCCCAATCTTCACCCAGTGCTGTGCACAGCAGCCTTGGCTCTCCCGGGTCTCTCTCTCTCCTCATTGGCTGAGACACAGTCGTTCACTGCCAGTGAGGAGGGAGCGGGACTGAGCCACGCTCTGTTTGTCCCATAGACACACAGAGCTGGCTTGGGAGTGAGCACACACAAGTGCCCCCAGGGTTAAGGGGGAGGGGCTAAAAGCATCTATAAGGGATCTGTGTAGAGGAGGGTCGGGGCTGCTCTGTGCAAAACCATTGTACAGAGCAGGCAAGTATAACATGTTTATTATTTTAAAGAAAGAAATAACGTTTAGATATTATAAATAAAGGCAAAACTTTTTCATTTTATTTTGGATTAAGGGAGGGTTATTGTAGCAATTGTACGTACAAATATGGACGCGAATATCCATTTTGGTAAAGACCCTCCATCTTGTATCATTTATCACTCCAAATCAGCTCCCCCCTCCCTCTCTGTTGAGTGACACGTGGTCCTTGTGTGCTGGGTTCAGGAGTGCACAGGACACAGTTGGATATCCTTCATGGTTGTAAACACAATTAGCTGATGTCAGGGTGTCTGGCAAACTCTTGCTCTGAAGCTGATCGTAAAGCCATAAACCCGGCAGTCACAGGAGTTCAAAAGCATTCCAGAATAGCAGTAAAACGTATATCCCATGTAAAAAACACTTTTCATAACTTAAAATAGGGAGTACATACAATCAAACAAAGCATATATTCAAATAGCTCAGTTTAATGCGAGTCGCCTGATATCTTACACCCTTGGTTAAAGTCTACAGGAGAGCAGGAAGCCATATACTTCTAGCTGAAATAGTAAGATATGGCATATTTGATGTCTAGATGTTCAGGATATCATTCTTCATATTAATCTACAAGTGGCTAGGCTGCTACATGTACCTAGGGAAGGTTATTGACCATGATATAAACTGAGAGGGATTTGGTCATAGCCGGAATTCCCCACCTAAAACACCCCTCCCCAAATGAGGCGATTGGTTCTCTGCTTTAAGGAGACACCCTGCTGGGTTCCTAGAAAAAGGCTGTTATGCTTGGAGCAGTAAGTTGAAGAATTCTCCCTTTTAGCATCAGGAACCTACTTTGGGAGAAAAGGCACCCTTTTGCTCAGGGCCCTTGAATCTGCTTAAACCAAGTACTCTAGCAAGTATTCTACCTCTCTAAACGTCTTTCTGTTATCTCTCTGCTGTGTTATTGCTGTGTGTGCGTGCGCGCGCGCGCTACATATTTGTCTGTAAATATTTTATTGCACCCTTTTGACCTTTTTAGTAATAAATCCTATTATCTGAAAAGTGTTGAACTGTTTCTAAAGCTCTTTAATGCAAACTTAAAATCCCTGTCTCTGAAGAGCGCTACTGTGTGTTTTTTTAAACTTCTACCTGCAGTAACAGTGTGTATACAGACGTTTATTCCAACATCATAGTGTTATTGCTAATATTGGTGCATTTCCTCCTTCTCCGTACAAAAAGGCGGTGGTGGCAGTGTGAAGGGTTAATTGTGTAATTAACCTGACCCAGTAATAATCGCTCTCAGGCTGCGGTACATAGATTGTGGTCCATTAGCTGGAAAATCTTTGTGCAGGATGCAGCTGAGCGTGGTATTGTTACGCACGTGACAGCGCGGTTTTAGATTGGCTAGTCCTTTGGTCACGAGTTGATGAGAAGGGCTGGGGGTCTGACGCCACGTCCGTCACAGTTAAAACCCCTGTCAGTGTTTTATGCCATCTATGTCCAGTAAGGGGGAGATTTCCCTTTATTTCCTGTATCAAAGCCAAATCCGGGGTGTTACCAGGACTAGTATCTCCATTGGAAGATTGTCAACTTTTGATGATAATGGTAAACAGGACAAATAGTGTGAATCTTCCTAACGGGAAATTAAGCAATAGAAACTGACAGGTGTTCTAATCCCTTTATCCAAAACTTAAAAAAAAATGCCTATGCCTTTAGTTACACATTAAGGCCAAGTTCTAGGCATCTATAAAAGATACAAATTAACCATTTGCCGCCCGCCCTATGGCCGAATGGCGGCCGGCAAATGTCATCAGCGTTCCAGGTGGACGCAATATGGCGTCCTCCCGCACATGCGCAGATTGCGCTCCTGCACGATTTGTCACCGGCCATGCACCTCGGACACGGCCGATGACAGATCTGAGTATCGGCCCCCGTTGCCGGTACCATGTGACCTGCTGTGACCAATCACAGCAGGTCACATGACAGTTGTATACAATGGATGGCTTCATTCATGCCATCCATTGTATACTAGTGTCTAGCTGTGAATGGTCACAGCAATCACATGCACATGTCATGTGATTAGCTGTGGCCAAATAACAGCTAAGCACAAAAAAAAAAAAAAAAACCTGAATTAATCGATGTCATTCAGGTAAATGCTTGCTTATAGCAAAGTAATTCTTTGCTATAAGCAAACTGTAAAAAAAAAAAAAAATACTGATCACTTCCCCAAAGTAGTACAGTGTTACTATGGTAACATTGTACTACTTTGGTCATAGTAAAATATGAAAAAGAAAAAAAACTTGAAAAAAAATAATTAAAAAAATATATATTTTTTTTCATACTGTCACCAGTCAGTGTCCCTGATCACCGCCATGCAAGTTATATGATGATGCTGTACTGCACTGGTGACAATATGTAAAAAAAAATAGTGAAACTAATTTTTTAAATTTTTTCATTTTCTGAAAAATTATGACAAAAAAAATACAACTTCAAAAAATGCCTCTTATGAAGTACGTCAGACTGTCTACTTTGCAAAAAGGGGTCATTTGGGGGATGTCTGTACTGTTCTGACATTCTTGGACCTCAAGAAATTAGATTGGCTGTCAGTACTTCAGGATTGATCAATATTCAGATCTATACCATAGTTTGTGAACTCTATAACTTTCCTACAAACTAAAAATACATCCTAATATGGGTTATTTTCACCAAAGACATGTAGCAGAATACATCTCGGCCTAAATTTATGAAGAACGATTATTTATTTGCAAACTTTTATAACAGAAACAGAAAAACGTGTTTTTTTTTTTCAAAAGTTTTGGTATTTTTTTGTTAATCTAGCAAAAAATAAAAACCCCAGCGGTGATTAAATACCACCAATAGAAAGCTCTAGTTGTGTGAGGAAAATGATAAAATTTTAGTTTGGGTACAATGTTGTATGACCGCGCAATTGTCATTCAAAGTGTGAGAGAGCTGAAAACTGGCCTGGGCAGGAAGGTGTAAAAGTGCCTGGTATTGAATTGGTTAATGCAGCTCTGTAACCATTAATGCCTCATTGAATGTGCTAGCAGTGTAAGTACAGTACTTGAATTTGACCTGATATTCTCTTGAAGTTCCTGTAGAGCAGGGCAGGAGTGTGAGAACAAGCGGCAGCATGAGGCACTAATCAGGTCCAGGGGCGGACTGACAACTCATGGGGCCCCCGGGCAATAGGGGATCATGGGGCCCCTGTGTCCTTGCCCAAACTCAAAAAAGCCTATGAAAAAGGTACAGGGGCATCTCATGGGGCCCCTTACTGACCCCGGGCCCTCGGGCAGTGCCCGAGTTTCCATATGTTCAGTCCGCCCCTGATCAGGTCATGTGCTGACAAGGAACATGCTAATGGAGAAAGCAGCGTGACAGGGATATGAGGTAATCACCATGCTGCTTCTCACTAGTTACAGTCTGGGGTTGTTTTATGACAGCCTAGGTTCAGAGCCATAGGGTTGAATAATGCTGGACATCACAAAATCTTGTGGCAGAAAAAAAGTACTAAATCTCTGCATTGAAGTTGAATACTGCAGCAAAAGCTGTTTTTTTTTTTTTTTTTCATTTTATCTTTCAAAGAGCTATTATGTTTTAAAATACAGTTTCACAATTCAAAATGTAATTTATTATCTCGATACATAATTTTGCCACTAAACTTTTCTATGGCCTGCTTTATTATAACCATATCTAAAATGTATAGAGCTGAAAGTGAAGCTCCACCCAAAAGGGGAAGTACCACTTTAAGGACTGTTACCCTGCTCCCCGTTAAAAATTGTCACCTTTTGGGGAATGGGTACCCGATTTTGGCAGGTACCTGCTCCCACTTTCTCTCCAACTGCCTAGGTGATCGGAAGTGGAAGTTCTCCTTCCCCCACTCCCTCTCACACGTGACAGGCCCAAGAAGACTGCAGGACC